CCAGAAATTGATCGAAAATCTCAGAAAAACAAATGAAGGTGGACCTTCCAGTTCCCAAATGCTACAGGTCAATATATAATACACAAAATCATGCTTTGGTAGAAAAGAATGGCCACACTACTATAGCTTATAATAATTGTACATTTAATATTGTTAACAAATAAGTAAAGATTATGTTTCGTTGATATGGTGCATTAATTTTCTCCTGAAATAGTCTTGTCGAATACCATTCGAGAGAAAATTATTTATTTATCGGCAAAATTTTCTTCTGGTTTTATTCAAGTTTGTTGCCTTTTGGCAATTTTTGCTTATGAAATTTTGACAAAATCACTCGACTTCTATTTATTCTTTTCTGGTAAATTTTTTTAGTATTGTTCTGAAGCTATTTTCTTGCGGAGGAATAAGCCACAATTAAAACTTAAAATAAGTTTATTGACGTTTCAATTTCCACTTCGGAAATCGTTCTCAAAATACAAACATTAGTAAATTAAACAAATTTTGTTTTTTAAAACAATACTAAAAAACCGTTATGGGCCCAGTGTTATTCAAAATTTTTGGAGATTGTAAATTTTGTACAAGAAACTGGCACATTTTCAAAATTCAATTAAATTTTTACGAAGATGTAGAGACAACAACCTAATACCAAAGGGCTTGAAGTTACGTCCAGCATATTCAAGCAGAAGGTTGGAAAACATTCTGCATAGAGCCAGTTTATCCATGATCCGCGAAAGGTTACAATATCATAGATCTAATTTATTTTTTGTTGAACAAGATATTGTGAATATTGAAGATTTGTTTTTCAATGTGATATCAAATTCTGATTTTGATCAAATTATTTGTAGTTTACATATAGTATATGAAAATTAATATAAAAAACAAAGAAATATACATTTTAATAAATTTAATATTCTTTTAGAACAAAACAGTATACACACTTTAGATAACATCAATACAAATGATGACATAGTACCAACAAAAAAACAAAATTTGTTTAATTTACTAATGTTTGTATTTTGAGAACGATTTCCGAAGTGGAAATTAAAACGTCAATAAGCGTATTTTAATCTTATTCCCATTTAAATAGCAATTACTTTAAAATATTTTATTTTGCAGTTTTTTCCCTAGTAAATTTATTCTTTTAGTGAACCCTTTATCGTCCGAATCAATTAACAAACCATCGCCTGTCGACCACAAGACATCCACCTTCGCCCTTCCCGAGGACAAACAAAAAAAGGTGACAGTTCATGTCCGTCGCAATTCGAAGCCCTCGTCTGCCTCAATTGTTTCTATTATGAAATATTATTCCGGCTTATCCTGTCACGCAATACGCTAATAAGACTACCGTGAGGCTCATGCTTTGGAAAAAGTGGCTTGTGCCCTTTGTCGTATTCAATTTGCTGCTCGACAATGGAGAAATTTTAATTGGATTAGAAAATGTACGGAGAGATAAAAAATTTACTGAAAGGTCTTGTAAACTATACGTTTTTTGATAAAGGAATCTTAGTCCTCGACAAGTAGTACTTGTATTATTGGGGTCACAAGAAAAAGCACTAACCTAGTCTATAACATCACTAAAAGACAATGCAAGTTGTTAGAATCGTTATATCTATGAAGCATATAAAAAAAACATGCTCAATTGCTTCTTGAAGATCAGAGAGAAGCCAGACAAACTGTGAACTAAAATGAATGGTCCGGTGTTTGTATAATTACACAGATTTTAAGATTTTCTTTAAAGTAAACAATAAATTGAGTAGATCAATATGCATTATGCAATAGTAAGGACTCTATCGACTTCAGCAAACGCAGTGGAGTTTATAAACTTCAATGTTCTGACTGTAATGACACTTATATTGGTAGACTTGTAGATCTCTGGTAACCAGGGCCAATGAACATTCTAAATTAGAGAATACTTCTTCTTTTTCCCATCATCTTAAATATCACAATCACACAATCAAGATACCAGATGATATTTCTCTTCTTTATAACATCATAGGTAGAGATTATCTCAAACTTGACCTTTTTGAGGATTTGGAGATCGTCAAGGAAAAGAAAAATAGTCCCAATTGTGTTAATCATCACACCAGCCTCAATAGAAACTTCGTCCCACTACATCGACAATTATTCTTCTAATCCAACTTTCTTTCTTTTAACTATACATCCGGTCTAACTTACTTCTACATTGCTTTCTCTTTTTTCCTTAGCTTGATTATCGCCCTATATTTCCTGTCATTCTTAACGCTATTCTTGTCACCATTAATACACTAACATCCTTATTCTAATATCCCATTTCCCATTCTCTCAAATAATTTCCATCCTAACTAATCACACAGGTTTTCTTATAAATACTCACTTTATATCAATCATGTCCTATCACAGTCATTTTCAGTATCCCCAGCTTACATCTTCACGTTCATATCTCCTATTTCTTTTTCCTCGATTCATTTTCCATAATTTTCAAATTCATCTCTACACTTCATTTAATGAAATAATTAGGTAATAACATCCTTTTTTCACTTTTGATAATGATTTAATTTACAATTACCTAACTTAAATTTTGTCTTACCCTGATATACCAAATTTCATTTACATCACAGTCACTCATTGTTTGACATCCTCTCCCTTTTTAAAACACCAAAAATTGCTATTGATCCTACTGATTAAACATAGTTCTTCACCAAAAACGGCCTATTCATAAACGGAAGTACAGTGACTTTTGCTCCTACCACATCATTCCACTTCACGTTGACGGGTATTGACTGATTTTTCATACCATTTTTCTATCAGTTAACCCTAGACTCTAGCATAGATCAGAGGTAAGTCGACAAAATCTCACCAGCTCCTGGGGGTTATGTTAGATGCCCCTATTTTGTGTGGCCAAAAAATGTTTTTAACAACTTTTTATGTAACTAGTAAAAAACCAACGTGTTCTTTGTATACATTTAAATTTTAACTTACGTGTTTTAATATTGTTTTTTTACTCTCTCTTTTAGTAAATTGATGATGGAATGATTCAATTCCGAAAAGATCTTCTTGAAAATAAAAGTTTTAAGCATTTAATATGCATTCTTTATACCTTGATACACACGAACACCACGTGCTTTGGATTCAATTGGTATACTAGCCACTCCTGGATATCTCCACTTTATGGTTTTGTTCCAGTTTCACTTTTAATTTTAAATTCAGTTGGCTATAACCCTCTTTATTTCATCAGTCCACTGTGGCAGAGGTCTACGCTTATGTACTCATATTTTCTTCTTTTCTTTCTCTATATAAGCAATTCTGCTTGTTCATTTGCGGTTTAGTACCTCTATGAAAGGTTGTCACTCCATTTTTTGCATGGTCATTCGATACATCTTCTGCCGATTGGTGACTTATATCTTGCTATTTTGACGACAGGGATCTCCACCATTCTGCTTATGTGGTTATTCAACTTTTTTTTCTATTTTGTGTCCATTCATAAGTTGAGTTTTTCAAGGATATCTATCTTTAAGCGTCTTATTTCTTGTGTTGGATTATGGGCTTTTCCTTGTTGGTACAAACTCCGCACGTTCAAAGTGCCTATTTTTTCGGTGTATTTAGTTGGATGGCTGGTCTTGTAGATGTTTTTCTCAACACATGACTGGGATTTTGCTAGTTGACGACCTGAGAGATCCTGTGATCTTTTAGGTTTGTTCCTCTTCTGTCGGATCTCGGTTTCCGATTTTCGTAATCAGTAATGTCTACTGATTTTGTTACCATTGCGATCATTGCCATGATGATTGTTCTAGGGATATCCTTAAGGATCTTTAATGTGGTAGTTGTTGCATAACAACAATATTTAATATTTTTATTTAATTTTGCATCTCATTATTATATCACACTGTATATTAGTTTAGATTTATAAAATTTCTTTGTACCATCTAATAATCTGTCCGGCGGCGATAGTTTTCATCCAAATAACTTTCTAGACATAAGCTGCTAAAATCGTCAAAGAATCTAACAATGAAAGGATTAGTCATTTGAAAATTCCCAACATTAACCAAAGTTGAAAAATACCCTTCTCAGGTAATTTTACCAATAAAATGAAAGTCGAAGGTATTTGAAATGTAAACAGATCCATTATATACGTCGAGGGGGCAGATTTTCGAATTCTAAGAAACGATTACGTGCCGAGTGATTGAAGAAAGTAAGTTTGATCAGTACCAGTTCAAATCCAGCATTGGATGAGCGCTAGGCTGTGTTATTAATAATCTCTGGATATAAATAAGTTTTACTCAGTTCGTGTCAATATTGTACCACAGACACAATACATAAAGTTTAGTTTCATAAATCAGCTATCGTAAGCAAGTTATCGGCGTCCAAAATACGTTGTAATTGTTTAAATAGACTTGTTAAAACGTTCTTTTCGAAACTTTCATTTATCCCAGTTTTCTGGGTTGTCCCAGGTTAAATAAGTATACGAAGTGAACCTATATCCCTAAGGAAAAACCTTGTTCCCCAAGAGAAAAAACCAGCGACCTATGACTGGTGCGCGAAACAAAGGCATCAAGACAAGGTGTAAGGACAAACAAATCTGCATCTTCTTTCAGTAGCTTTCCACATACTTTAGTTTTACCTGTATAATATAATAAATATACTTTAAAATTCATAGTGTGTTTTTATTGAACGGTATTTTGAATTTTGTCTGCATATTACTGACAAAAGTCGTACATATTTATGCGCATATACTTCAAGTTTGGATATGCATATTTGCCTAAGTCTGGTAATAATACAGTAATATAAAAAATGCACTAATAATTTAAACTTCAAAAGCATTTCATTATTCTTAATCGGTACTTTGAAAATTGCAAATAAATTTGTTGGTAATAAACACACCGTAGGTAAATTTGTTATTAGAGTTAATTTGAATACTGTAATGAATTTCCTTAAATAAACATAATAAAAACAGATAATATCAACTACGTAATCAAAGCAATCCATCACTCCACACATGATAACAAAATTACCAAATCGATACTCACCTCTGGGCGGGTTCGAATGAATAAAGAGTCCATTGACGATCTTATTATCCCCTTGAGCTCTTTTTCTCAGCACGGGCATCTTGATAGCAATTGGCCAAGGCAAATGTCTAGGTTACGTGATCATCAAAGCTGCTGTCAATCTTCATCCGCTGGCTGTCAGATTGACGGATGGATACCGGAATCGCCTGCAAGTTTTAATCTAATTGAGATTTGGGTTTGATAGGTTTGTGGGCGAGGTGTTAGAAGGTGAAATTAGCCTTGATTTGATGCACTATGTTCATATATTTAAGTATATGTTAGGTATGTTTTATTGTAAAAAACGATGTGAATAAATATGATAATATATAATATAAATGACTTATATTAAGTAGTTAATATCTTGTTTATGTTTTTTTCCTTTTCTTGCATTTTTGTAGAATTGTATCAAAAAATTATTTAAAATTACTTCTTCAAATTTAGTCATGAAATACAATAAAAATCGTAGCAGATTAAGGTTTTCCGGCACGCATTCGAGGGTACTGTTTAATTGTTTACAATAGCCTACTTGAATCCTTCCTCTAACAGAAGTTGTCAAAAATATCATTTAAATAGAAACATCCAATACTATTGCTTTCAGTATATCATCTCACTAATGATCACATTACCACGATGAGGATCACATTAAACAAAAGCGTTTGACAAAGTAAGCCTTAAGGATATAATCAATCTTTTGTATAATAGAGAAGTTTGCCAAGATATTATAAAAATTACCGAAAACATCTACCGAAACAACAAAATTGATATCAAAATAGATAGACAACTTACAAAACCTATAGAAATGGGTACTGGAATAAGACACGGGGGCTTATTGAGCCCTATGTTCTTCAATTTATTTTTGAAATAAACTTTTAGATCGCCTGCGCACTCCGACACTCTGTTTCTGATGCGTCACTAGTGATAGCGTTACGCGCACTAGTATCTGCTTCTTCATTCCCTTCTACGCCTATATGAGATGGTATCCACAGGAAGTGGATTCTTCTGAAATTTTCTGGAGCTTCCATTAATTCGGCCTTGATAATTTTCTCAATGGGGTGTTTAGGGTATACATTTTGAATAGCTTTGACTGCGCTGAGAGAGCCAGAAAGGACTAGACAACAAGGGATGTTTTTAATATTCACTTGCAGATTAGTTTCCTGTAAACATATTACATCAGGAGATTGTTCACCAATTAGATTGTGGAGCATAGCAATGCGATGGAAAAATCCATCAATATTCCACTGAAGTAGAGACTTGAATTTTAATGTTGGCTTAATTGAGATGTGTCACTTTCCGCGTCCGATGTTGAGATGTGTCACTTTCCGCGTCCGATGCCTCACTGCCAATATAATTATGGGTTTTTTTCCTTTAGGACGTAAGTTTACGTTTTATGGATCTTTCCTTTAAATGGGGGGTAAACTTGACTGAGCATGTGGGACAAAGTTGATAGGTCTGAGGTATATTCTTGAATTGTGGTTATAGGATCTGTTGATCCCATTAGGAGCATGTTGAGTTGATCAATGTTTAGAGGCAAAGGTAGAGGGTGATTTTCTATGAAGTTTTTAGCAGGGTCAAGTAAGAGAGAAAATGAGCGTTCAGAAGTGCTTGCTGAACTAATTTGAGTTTTTTAGATTTTTCTTGGACTTTAAGTCGTGGAAAAATGTTACATTCTATTGAAGATGGATCTGCTTCAGGTGAAATAATTTCATCAAAGTTACGTTTTGGTTTCATCAAAGGCAGCCAATGACGTTGGTGTGTCATTGGCTGCTTGCAAGGATATATTTTGCGCTGGATACCGATGATTCATTGTTTTGGTTGGGGTTTAGTTGAGTTAGTGGTTCGGAGCACTGTGAAGCAATGTGACCTAGCTTCTTGCATCTAAAGCAAACTAAACTGTCTTGAGAAATGAATATTCTATGTATCGTGTTGTCAAAAACAAGAGTAAATGACTCTGGTAGTGTTAGACTGTGAGGACTGATATAGATTTTTGAGATCTATCAAATTCTCTATTTTTAATATAAGATTGATGTTCACTTATTCTAACATTTGAACTAAAACCCTTGAAGCTCTTTAACTCAAAAACAATTGATTTTTAAGTCTTATGGCACTGAGAACTTTTGATCAGCATGACCGAAGCGAAGTCTCTGGCAAAGTTTCAGCCAATTTAACTGAATCCACTTTTACATTATACGTCACCTCAAAAAAATAGATAACTCAAAAATTTTTATTTTTGAAGTAAGTTTACCAATAGATGTAAATATATCATCTTTATGTTATGCTACAACCAGACAATTCACAAAGTACCCTTTGAGTCAATATTTAACTTTATAAAACACCATTTGTTTAATACTTCTTCTTCTCTTCTTTATCAACCATTTTCCATCCACTCCTGAATGTAGGTCTCTCCCAATTGCTTCAATATTTCTATATCTTGCGCCAATCTAATCCACTGTTTGCCTGCCACTGCTCTTATGTCATCTACCCATCTTTTTTGAGGTCTTCCCATGCTTCTTGTTGTCGTTCTTGGTCTCCATTCTAGAATTCTCCGTGTCCACCTGTTTTCATTATATCGGGCTACGTGACCTGCCCAGCGCCATTTCATTTTTGTAATTTCTTCCACAATATCCCTAATCTTCGTTCTACTTCTTATCTCGGTGTTTCTAATCTTGTCTCTTAGTGATATTCCAAGAATGATTCGTTCCATTGCTCTTTGCGTTGTTTCTAATTTTTTGTTGAAGTGCGGCGCGAAATGATGTGGGCGCAAAATGGTGTGGACGCAAAGTTGTGTGGACGCAAAATTGTGTGGGCGCAAAATGATGTGGGCGCAAAATGGTGTGGGCGAAAACAGGTGTGGACGCAAAATGGTGTGGGCGAAAAATGGTGTGGGCTCAAAATAACGTGGGCGAAAACTGGTGTGGGTGAAAAATGGTGTGGGCGCAAAATGGTGGGGCGCAAAATGGTGTGGGCCCAAAATGGTGTGGGCGCAAAATGGTGTGGGCGAACAATGGTGTGGGCGCAAAATGGTGTGGGCGAAAACAGGTATGGGCGCAAAATAATGTGGGCGAAAACTGGTGTGGGCGGAAAATGGTGTGGGCGGAAAATGGTGCGGGCGGAAAATGGTGTGGGCGAAAAATGGTGTGGGCGAAAAATGGTGTGGGCGGAAAATGGTGTGGGCGAAAAATGGTGTGGGCGGAAAATGGTGTGGGCGAAAAATGGTGTGGGCGAAAAATGGTGTGGGCGAAAAATGGTGTGGGCGTAAAATGGTGTGGGCGAAAAATGGTGTGGGCGGAAAATGGTGTGGGCGAAATATGGTATGGGCGCAAAATAATGTGGGCGCGCGCAAAATAATGTAACTAATTATTTGTTAACGGGTTTTTACCCATATATTTAGTAGCTACATTCATGTACTCCTAGATACTGATGATGGAATATGGATTCCGAAAACGTCTTGTATAATTAGCCCGTTGGGGTTTTTAAATATATACCTTATAACAGCCACCTGTATATTAACCACTAATCTCCCATACTATGCACCCACTAATCTCCCGTACTATAATCTTAGAGGCTGCGTCGACTTCTCGAGCCGACACGATGAACAACCGTCCGTCACAAGCTGGTCACTAGTATTCACTAGTAGTCATAGTCACTTCAATATTAGTTGAAAAATAATTGCACACCCACACAATTTGTACATCTAAACTTATTCATTGGCATAAAACTGTCACCTTCATAAAACAATTACTCAATAAATAACACACATTTCATAAATATATCTCTCGAATAAGTATAAATAACTTTTAATAATATAATGGTATATTACATCACTTTCATTTAACAAACAATCACACACATATCTCTGCTTCATTGGATCAAATCTATCTCCTTAAGAACTTCCCGTTTACTGTCAAACAACTACAATAGCAGAATTGAGTTCTCCATTCAACAATACTTAGTAGTTTCAACCATGTTCTACCATCCATCAATTAATAGAGTACCGGCATGTAAGTAATGTTTATTTATTTGCTCATTTATTAATTTATTACAATATAATAGACTATTTTATAACAATTTGTGGGCCTTACCTTGTCTCTTTAAACTTTTAAAACTTTTATACATTTTTATTCAACTTACTCTTTTTGAAATAAAACCACAGGCATATAATATTGGCATAATTATTGTAATTTACAACATCTACTTTGTTTATCTTTATTAGACAACACCCTAATATGGGTTTTTATTATTTTAGCATTTATTTAACTTTGTATCGAGACCTGAAGATGCTTTGCATATTTTAGAAAGCGAAACCGGTCGTCTGATAGTTAAATTAAATTGATTGTGAGTCAGTCTTATTTATTATTTCTTTACCTATTTGAAATGGACTCACACAAGCAACACATTCATGATTTTAAAAGCTGTTATTTTGCTGGTAAAACTGGATTTCTTTATTGACAACAATAACAAATAATTGCAATTTGCTGACTTAATGCTAATTTAACTGTATATTATGTAAAGAGTTTGTACACTTACAGTTTATTTCAATATATCACTGAGATTCACAATTTATAACTTACATTAAACTTTGTTAATGTTAAAAATATTCGGATCGTACATTGATACAAAATTATAGTTACCAACAATTTTCATTTGTTACTATAGCTAAATATTAACACTTAAATTTTGACGAATGCGCTTCCACAATGCATCCACCAAAATTGTAAAAAGAATGAACGTCAAATATTTTCTACCAAAAAATTGGGCACAAGCAAAAATATGACTAATACACAAGTAGTGGAGGAAAATGCTTTGCCAGAAAGATAGTATATAGAAAAGTTTCTATCATACAACTCTATAATATCGTCTAACATTTCATTATATAAATATCAATACCTTACAATTTTCTTATTCCTAGTAAATAGCTTCTCCGTTATGAATTATATATTTGAGTTTCCAACTAACCTTGTAACAATATTTAATAAATCATCGAACGGCTATTGTTATTTGTTTACTAATCTTTAAAAAATGCATCGATTGCTTCGGAATAAATATTTTATTATGCGTAAAACA